TACATACAACAATGCTAATATTTGGTTGAATGTCCCCTGACCATTTGACCTCAAGGAGGCACATTCGGTGGTCATTCAAAAGCTTCCGGTTGTATCTGTGATCACTCTTGACAGAATTAATACAATTAAACTAAATTTGTTGGCTTTTAAATTTCCATCATAGAAAGTTCAGAGTTATAGAAACCATGGGAAACTCAAGGCTGCCATGATATACATGGTCATTACAAGTGTATGTAAATCGTTGTTCACGATTGTCTGAACAACAGTTGTGCACATAGGTTTATAATTTTTACCTGAAATATATTTGGATTGTTCGTTCAGAATTCAATGTAGGAATTTAAGGAAATTAAAACCTATTCATATTTGAGATATATATTTAAAATATATATCAAATCAAATATAATTTATTTTTCATTTACATAGAGAAATATGAAGAAATCATCCCAAAGATTTAACATGAGCAAATTCATATTTGTGAGGGTGTCATCTGCATATTAATCCTGGTGAACATTTTCATCTGTCTGTTTAATCTGTGGGATGAACATTTATTTAGTCTCAGATTTAGAGCCCCTCCAAATGTGACATAAAGAAGAAGAAAAATAAAACAGTAAAACAGCACAATTACATGGTTAATACATGTCCAAACAAACATGACAAAATGCCAGAGACTTTACCTGAACTGATTCCTGTAAATATATGTAAAAGAATGAGCAAAAACAACTGCCCAGGACCTCCCATCATAGACCACATCCACGACACAAACTTGCTGGAAAAGACAAAGGAGATGATTTGAAATCATAGTTTGAAAAATGATGCTGTCTGAGGCTGCAAAAGTTCATGACTTACCCTGAAGAGAGCGTTTGAGAATCCAGCAGTAAATGAAATGCAAAAAAACTCAGAGTGAATGAGAGCGTGGTAATTTATAGGCTTGTTTCTGGTCACATTAGGTCACATTAAAACAGTTAATTATCAATCACAACTGGACAAAACCATAAAACTGTGACAGAACTGGCACTTAAACAAAGGTTGGGGTCAATATATTTTACGGTCCCATCAAGGACAGGTCAGTGTCGAAACATGTTCAGAAATAACTTGCTTGCTTCAGCATTGATTAAGTTTCTAATGAGTAGCCATTTACAACCAGCTGAGAGAACATATGTGCTGAAGATGCATTCCCGACAATGGAAAAGGACATTTGACCTATTTCAACATTTTTCGTCTCATCTCACAGTTTTTATTAACAGTGTGACTGAGGTTGAGAAAATCCTGCTGGTATCCAAACTACCTATTGTCTTAGAAATGGATTTTTATTGATTTTTAAATTATCCCCTTTATGTCAAACGGCATCAGTTAAATGTCAGCATTGGTCCTCATGCATGAATTAAACTGGCACTGGACATCCCATGTGATTAATTATAATTGTATCATGTTGGCCTCAGTCTAATGTGTAAATTATGTATTTATTTGTTACTTTCTTCGAAAGCAGGACCCGCTGACTGTAAATGTGCACTGCATGGAAAACAGGAAGAGAGCGGCTGACCTTTCCCTCTCTTTTTTTTTTTTTTTAAATCAATTTGATTTATTGGGTTTTTATTAGATTGTTCCACTTGGTATTGCATGATAAATGATTGACTCAGTGTTTTGTTCCATTACAACAGCATTGCGTTTGTTAAGACTTTGACTGCACTTTTTGCCAGTAACTACCTGCATAAAATAGAGCACACACACAACATATTGTCGTGCCACTCTGGAGGTACCTGTGCTGAGACAAATAAATTGTCCTAATAAGGTAGGCTGCAGTAGGCAGTGTTTTTTTTGTTTTTTTTTGGTTTGTTTGTTTTAACTAACACAGCACAACAGGGGTTCCAAAAAATTAATTTGTGAGGACCTTCAAGGGATTAGATAAGGCCTCTGGTATACTCCAAACCCTCAGAATCAAGCTGACCTCATTACAAACAAGGACAGATGAGAGACAAACCTTCATACAACACAGACACAGTTAATATATGACATATGTGGTCTTATATAACAAAACGAAAAACAAAAAATTCAGACATGAGTTGATTGTTACGTGATTCAGTAGCCGCACAGTAATGAATTACATCATAATGTTACACAACTTCTCCCAACTGTATGAGATAAGAAGCACTTTGATTGACCTGTTACCTTTGTTTTCACAGGAGGTTTTCTAGTTCCAGCCAAGTGCCCTTACAAGTGTTACAAAAGAAACCTTGAGCAAAGGGCTAACATCGACTTCTTGGCTAACTTGAGAAAAATTCCAGCAGAAACTCTTGCCATGTTGAAAGCTGTGTACGGGGGAGCAGACGATGTCCCGTACACGTGAACTTGAGTGGTACAAGAGGTTCAGCATGGGGATGAGATGATGTGGAGGACGTCCCAAGAACTGATGCAAACCATCGCAGACTGATGATCAGAATGATATAGGGAGTCGGTAAGGACCATCACATTGGAAGATTTGGGCATTTGGGCTTTCTGTGGTCTGGGTGACACCGGCATCTTCCACTGGAGGCTCTGCTGCTTGGTGTTGGAGTCATACTGGAAAAGCCGGGTGTCATTCCTAGCGATGATATTGTCCAAAAACTCTGGACTGCCGTCTAGCTGCCCCGAAACATCTACACAGAGGATCTTTTGGTACTCAAGGATTCAAGGATTCAAGCCTTTATTGGTCACAAACACAGTTGCACATGGCACGCGCAGTGATTAAAAAAAAAAAAAAGCAAAAAGAAATAATTCAAGTTTTCAAACAGTGCAAAAGGAGATAAAATAAATAAATAAAATAATAATATTATACACATGTATATATACAAGGTGGAAAGTGAATGGCTAGATTGTTATTGAGTCTATTGTTTCAGGTTCGGCAGGCGGACAGCCTGAGGGAAGAAGCTCCTCCTCATCCTCTCTGTGTTTGCCTTCAGGCAGCAGTAACGCCGCCCTGATGGCAGCAGAGAGAACAGTCTGTGGCTGGGGTAGGTGGGCTCACTCACAATCTTCCTGGTCTTCAACCTGCATCGTTTGTGGTAAATGTCCTGCAGGTTGCGGAGGGTGGTTCTGATGGTGCGCTCAGCCGAGCTGACCACCCTCCTCAGAGCGAAGAAGTCCTGCTGGGTGCTGCTGCCCATCCAGGTGGTAATACTCCCACCCAATACACTCTCAATGGTGCAGGTGTAAAAGTTCCTGAGCACCATGACAAGGAGCTTAAAGTCCCAGGTATTTGAAGCTCTCCACTCGCTCCACTTCTGTCCCGCTGATCCTGAGTGGGTGGTATACTCTGAGAACAGTTTGGGCACCAACTTCATGTAGATCTTCTGCATGCCCAAAGCATCCAATAAGAAGGTCCTGATCGATACACTATTCAATCCCATTTGCTCAGCCATCAGTCTGATCATCAGTCTGTGATCACTCCTCACAATTTCCTTCACCTTCTGGATGTTGGTATCAGTTCTTGAGGGATGTCCTGGTTTTAGGTTATCCTCCACATTGCTCCACCTAATTCTGAACTACTGATATTCAGATATACAAGACATTGTTTCCTGTACACATCCTTCGCATGGCAGTGGTTTCTGCTGGAATTTTTCCCAAGTTAGCCAAGAACTCGATGTTAGTCCTTTGCTCAAGGTTCATTCTGTGACAGAGGGCACTTGACTGGAGCTAGAAACCCACCTGTGAAAGGAAGGTTAATGGGTAAATTGAAGTGTTCCTTTCTCATACTGTGTTGAGATGCTGGGGCAACACTATGATTTGCTTCATTACTGTGTGGCTGTTGAAGCATTTGATCAGCAACCTTGATTTTTTTTTTTTTTGTCACACCTCGTATGCATAAGAATAACATACCTAGAATCAGGCTCTGAGAGGGCGGCCATCTGCCTCCACCAGTTGGGATGAGGGTAAAGGGGAGACAGAAAAGGAGAGTTGACAGAAAACAGAAAACATATAAGAGAACGATAAACACTGGGGAGGTTGGGGAGGTCAGTAACTGCAGATCAGAAGTATGTAGCTCCGTAATCTGCAGAGGACAAAACACAAACTACAGAGAGCAAAGACAAAAAGTTAGTCACGTGCAACAATGGCATATAACAGTATGGAGAAATAGGAGCGTAAAAGGGAAAAGTAGTCCCTTGCGATGGACATGAGCCAGCTTTAACCATAAACTTTATCAAACAGAAAAATTTCACGCCTGATCTTAAAAGCAGAGTGGATGTCTGCCTCCTGAATGCAAACTAGAAGCTGCTTCTGCCTCTTATTTTGCTTTTGGAAACTCTTGGAACCACAACAGAGCCTGCACTCTGAGAGCAAAGTGCTCCACTGGGATAATAATGTGCTTTAAGATCTTGAAGTTATTCTTTGTCTTCTGACTTTTTAATTAAACTTTATGTTTGGGATTTTTCTGGTGAAATTGTTTTCCCACAGAAAATCATAGGTTACTGCAAAAACAGAGCACAGTCAATAACCTTGCAATCTGAAAACCCTAATGACAAATTACAAACCATTAATTTACAACAGAGGGTCAATGTGTGACACTGGAGAGTGGAGCTCGACCAACTCTCATCCCCCAAACTGCATTGCAAGTTGCGTAAAGCTACCTTTTGCCAAATGCACATCTCAAAATGAAGTTGTTGATTGTATTTAAATATGTCAAATGCATTCAAGTCACTTTTTCTTCACAGTAACTCAAAACACACACACACACACACACACACACACACACACACACACACTCTCTCTCTCTGCACTTCATCATAAACCCTGTGAGCGGAATCCAAGACTGGACGAGGCAAAGTTCTGTCAAAACAGGTGGAAATTCGTTAGATGAACATACACGGTTTGTACTGGAAAGTTCTGCTTGCAAGGAAATGAATGTGTTTTGACATTTTGTTGCCTGATATATTGATGATATGTTAACGGAAAACGGCGGTGAGCTGTATGACAGTTGCAGTATTGTTGCACGGTCATCCCGGCCTGCATACATAAACACACACGCATTCAAATAAGAACATAAATGTTTTATTCACTAAAAACCTTGTTGGGTTATTTGGGTTATGAATATAATTAACTAAGAATCACATATATGTACAAAATTAGTAAAAATAAAAAAACATTGTCCAAATTTTTTTTTACCTGTGCAGCACTTCTTTGCCAACATAAAAAAAAATTCTATTGTCCTTCACCGGTAATTTCATATACTGTATATTTATATGACATTATTTATATATTATACTGCACATACAAAGCAGTACTTCACCTGTGGTCCGATGGTGTTGTGCAATGGTTTAGTAGTGTTGTCATCTCTTGGAATTCACAATGATTTCCAGAGTCAAGGTTTAGCAGATACAACGTTAAGTGCAACTCTCTGCTTCAATAGGAAAAGGGGGACTTGCCTCAGCCACTGACACATTGGAGGTAGTTTGTAATTTCATAACACCCTAATAATCCCAGATAAAAGACGTCACTGATCAGTGTTGTTGATCCACACTCCTTCTGCCCAGGCTCAAACGCCTCTCTGTGATTGGACAGTTTTGGTGTCAGTCATCGATGAGGTTTCTCGACTCCATCTGTGTCGCTTCCTCCACGCTGTCTCTATACCTAAAGCCCTGCAGATCAGCGGCTAGGAGAACCTTCAGAACCGAGGGCTGAAAAGAAAGAGGAAGAAACAGCCTGAGCAGAAGAGTAATCGCTATAAATACCATCAGTATTCAATAAAAGTCTGTAAGGACTGAAAGGCGTACCCGCAATCCAGAAAAGACCAGTTGCACTTGTCGTAACTTGAACTGCCTCAGCAGGTCGCTAAGCTCGTTGATTACTGTGTAATCTATGATGCTCACATGATGGCAGTCCAGGACCACAGACCGCGGAGGAGACACTAGGGGAGAGACGGGTGAATAAATAACAAATGAATAAGAATAGGTCCCCCCATTAGACAGGCTACCAATCGAATTCTCACCCTGCAGAGCCTGAGTGTGTATGATGTGGCTGAGGTACTCTGTGGCGGGAAAACTGAGGCCACTGCTCAACTCCATCACCAGGACGTTGTGATCAGACACCTGCACACACAGACACACATTGGTAACACAAAAAACAACTTCAGTTATTTGAGATGTGATGGATCTATAATGTTCAACACGTCCCAGCAGGCCTTTGGTCATTTGCATGAAATCCTCACTCATTGTATTCCATGTCAGAAAGTGAACTCCTGGATTTCACAGTGGAAAAGTAAAGTGGAGTATGAAATTGTACCAAGGTGCATCCCTTTAGTCTATTGAAGCTGTTATTGGAGACAATGGTTGAATTCATGCTTTCCATGTCTGAATGCTTTCCGTGTCTGAGTACGCAAACTAATGCCCACACTGAAAGTGGACAGCATATGTGCACACACATCTATTCATACCACGCCCTCAAGTCAAATACACAAGCTTCTTGTGGATGTTTCTGAAAAGCAGTAACTTTATACAAGGTGTAGCAGCTGACTAAAGATTGGCCGGTAGCACCGTGTGAGTTTGATTATTCCTTGGGTGTGTTAAACAGAGAGGACAGACACTGCATACGATATCTGGAGAATTTTGAATTTTCCACTGTGTTTTGAGAACATAGAAATCAAGACACCTCTATTGTTTAACAGTAACTACTTCAAGTACAACTCTTTTATTTATGAATTATAAAGAATTAGAATGAAAACTAGAATAAAACTTTATTAATCCCTTCGGTACAAGACCTCAGGGAACTTGCTAAAAGGTATGGATCTCTTCATATGGTTTCTCTTGTTTCAGCTTCATTTGTTTTCTTGGTGCATATGCAGTTGGCATGTTTGTAGTGTGGAAATTCTGTGTGGTTACTTATTGTAGACTGATCTGGATGGATGACAAATATTCTCGTCACACACATCCTTGCCAGAAAGGACAAATCGGTCTTAAAACTGTATCACCCAGTTTATATGCAGTACTTCCGCAGCAGCTTTTATCTGGGTCAGATGTCATAAAAAAATATTTCTTTTGCAATCATCCTTCTCCCTCTGCATTAATTCAGCTGCCGTGTGCACTGGATTATAAGTAATACAGTTCTTTTTACTAACTGAAATAGCTTTAAATGTCCGTGATTACCACCCCCACATTGTGACTGAGATGTTATTATCGCATCAAAATGACTTGATTTCATTAATGATGGTTACATTTTAAAGATTATAGCCCATAGGATGACTGTGAAAGAGATCATTTGTTTGTTGTATATGTCAAACCTAATCATAAATCATGTTCTTATTTCCAAGTATAACCAAGGATATTAAACACACCAAACGCATACACAGACAAACAATACAATAGCATCGTCTATGATCGTAAATTTTCTCCCTGATTCTGCAATAACCACAAACATTTCTTCAGTAACAATTATGCAATTACAAGACATGTTTAAATTTCCCAGAGACAAATCTTGTGAGGTTTGATACTCTGTAATGCTCTGTAATAATACTGTAATGAATCTAAAAACAAAAACCCCATGTACAAGGCACTAAAGTCTCATAATTAACGTTGATCTTGTAGATACAGGATTGTCCTTCTTTGAATGGGGCTTTGAAGCACCGGCAATATCTCCAAGTCACCATCAAGTAAAAGTGGAAAATATGGCCAAAACATTACATCATGATTTTAGTTAATCCAGTGAAATAAATCATTGAAAAAAAAAAATCCCTCAGGAATTCAGGTAAACATTTACACACATCTAGCACTAACCGATATTAAAGGGACACACACATCTGTATAAAACCGTATGAAGAAAAGCTCTCCTAGGGTTGAAAAATTGCTGCTGTTTGATGGTAAATATGTTTCTATAGCCCTACTCTTCAGTCCATTGATACAGTGGCTGCATTGTCATTTTTTAAAAGAGCATTCTGGCCTCTAAGAATCAGGATTGAGCATAACAAGTTTAGGTTTTAGTTCAAGAAGCAGTTTGTGAAAGTTTGGCTGCTGGGAGCAGGGCCTATCATCACACTCTGGTCTTTGTTTTGGATAATAACAAGAGGACGCAGCATAATATCATGAGTTTAACTCCTTGTTGGATTCTGTTGAGGCTGAACCAGCTGCAATTTGGTGACTAAAACATGAAAATGTATCACAAGAAAACTGCTATTGTGTCTTTACAGAAAAGTTTCAAACACTTGGTTGCTCACAGTCCTGTAAAGAATATCAAAGTACCTTAATCTGTGGTCTGGCCGTGTTGTACAGCAGCAGGGCTCCAGAAACAGCTATGCCTCCTATGATGCCGTACTGCACCTGCCAGAAGCTCATCAGGAACGTCACAACGAAAGGCAGCAGGTCCCACTCTTTGGACAACAGAAACCACATTAGTTAAACAGACACACACATGTGAGACAGATGTAAATAAAAATACTGAGCAGACACCTACTGCGTATCTTCCACATCTTAGCCACAACGTGGAAATCCACCATCGGAGCTACCGCACAGATGATGACAGCAGCGAGGGAAGCTTTGGGGATGTAGTAGAAGGCCGGCATGAGGAAAGCCAAGGAAAGCAGCACTATCACACCTGCAAAAAGACACACACAAAAGTTGTAAACATTCACAACCAAGCAGGACAACAATGTTTGAAAAGTTGTACTAAGGTGAGACACTACAGGCAAAAACTCTGCTTTTTCATGCATTTTTTACTTTTTTGCTTCCATAACAAGTCTTCTTTGATAATAGTGGAAAGAACATGTCCAAATTACACAGTTAGGTGTTCATGTTACAACTCTTTGTCTATGGGGAATACTGGTCATGCAAAACTATATCTTATCTTTTCTCAGTGCAACTTTGCATTCAGAAAACTTGCAATACAAAAAGTTATTGTCTTAAAAAAGTAGTCAGCTGGGAAGGTTTCATGGTGATATCTTTTAGTTGAAATGTACCCAGAAATAATGGTTTCCAATAAAAACGTATCCAACTTTACAAAACATATCTTCTATAATATTTTTTTCCTCATACTCTATTCCAGAAATCTCCTCTTAAGTAGCACTTGCATGCGCCAGACTTTTACAGATTTATTCCCTTTATATTCTGAAAATTGCTACAGAGGGGTTTAGCCTGGTTTATAGAACAGTTTATTCTAAAAACATGGACAAAAATAGATTTTATTCTAGCTTTCGACAGAATTTTCGGATTCACAGAGTGATAAAAGGAGCTATCTAAAATAATTATTGAAAAAAACCTCTGACTCAGGTCAACAAGATGAAACAGGAATTTTGAACTTAACTTTATGAAACGTTCCGATATCTGTTCTGGAAATGTATTTAAATGAGCACATATCTAATTACATAAAATGTTCCTTGCGTATTTAAATTTCAGAAACAAACTTGTAAAACAAAAAACAATTCTCTTAAGTGTAAGTAATCAACTGAGGAAGTTTCATAGACGTTAGTTCTAATTTTTACTCTATTTATCTTAGCAAAATCCCAAAATAAATAAAAAAGCCAGTGTCCTTGTGTGTTACTAGCAATAGATGATTGGTGTTTTAGTTAAAAACCTATTGAAGCTGTTTTGCTTGTGTGATGTTGAACTGAACCAGAAAAGTAAGAATACGAGTGATTTCTACACAGTTTAAACCAAAAAGACGCTTTTTTTTAAACGTTTTTTTCTAAAATCAGTTGCATGGAGACAGGTTGACAGTGAAAAAGGCCAAATTTACAATATGTGTATTTTGTTTTTGAACTAAAAAGTTCATACACTGAACTGTCTTTGATTAAAATTAATGTTTTTGTTGCTTTGTTACTTGTCATAAAGTCTATTCTTGACGTTTCCTGTGACACTTCTTTCATGATCTGCTTTCATGAGAACACTTTCCATCTCAGCAGTGGAGACAGTGAGGGGGAAAAAAGGAACGGGAGGCAGGACGATACGCTGCATGATAACACAGATCACCACAAGAGGGCGGAAGAGGAAAAGTTAAAAGTGTCTCGACTCACTGGTGACGATCCCTCCAGCTGGAGTGCAAACGCCTGTCTGAGAGTTCACTGCTGTCCTGTGTGTGAAGAGGAAACATGACAAGATAAACATCTGACAGCTCAGCTTTCTGTTTCTCTTTCTCTCACGCACTCTTAGACACAAACCTCCCGAAGCTGCCAGTAACAGGGTAAGCCGACACAAAGGAGCCCATGATGTTGGTCACACCAATTGCCAGCAGCTCCTGGTTGGCATCGATCCTGTAGTTGTTCTGACTGGCTGAAGACAAACAAGAGGATAAAATCAGCCAACACACTGTGGAAACACTAGTTTTTAGCTCTGCTCATGACCTAATGCATATACAAAGTGTAGAAAAGTGCTTTTGCGTGCACGTTTTGCAGGTTCACAATGTTAGGTAGACATGTTAACAGTTGCAGTTTATTCTAACACACTCAACACCATCAAACTTGCAAATATACATTTATCAGTGCAACGTTTAAGTGCTAGACATTCATCAGGAAAACAGTGTATCTGTAGTCGTAGTATTTTTGCAAGTTAAACTGTTGTAATCTTTTGGATACACTTGTCTCCTTCCTACACACCTGCCTCATGAAATAGTTGTGTGAATAGTTCCTTTGGTTTAAAATGTGCAAATTAGCAATAAACAAAAACAGCTCAGAATCATAGGAATGTCATTATTTTGCAGGTATGTCTCCAAAAAGTCATGAGGTTTTTTTTTGTTGTTTGTTTATCTGGACAGAAACATTAATATCAGCAGTCAAAGACTCCTGCAGAGCTGCTGAAGTGGACCGTCAGTGGCTCCGGATGCAGAAAAAGGACTCCACCAGGGCTCCACAGTGAATGACTGGTATCAAGGAGGTGAGCAAAAGATGCCAGAATTCACTCTGGAGACGTCGTAGGCCTATCAGTAAATAATTCAGCAAAGAGGACGTCCACTTGATAAGTAAGAAGATGTCGCTACTCACTTGGTCATCCTGCATCTGGTATGGAATTAACAGACACAAATAGCTATCAACAATTACTTCTCTATTGGTGAGGCAAAGGCATAAGAAAGATGTTTTTGATTTTGGTACACAAGCTGCATCTTTGGCACTAACTGTGATGTTTTTTGAAGACCAATATCAGTAGTGAAATGTGTAAAAAGCCTTCCCTAAACCGCTTCTTGAAGTACGTAGTAACCTTGGGCGTACCTGTCCTTAATACAACGCATGTAATATGATTGCATTTGTGACTTCCAAAGAAAAGTCCCCAGGATCTTTATTTAGAAATCTTCATTTTGATGCCAGCACATTCAGATGCCGTTAAGATTAACCGAGAGGAGTGCAGATTTGAAAGAGGCTCATGCTAACTTGTCTACAATGGGTAGACTGTTAAGTTCAATAACCCCAGCTATGTACCCTTCACATTCAGCACACTCCAGCTCCTGAGTCAAGGAGTGTAATTAAGGGATATTAACAGCTAGTCCTTCATTAAAGACCAACTTCAAACCTTGACTCATTCACTTCTTTTGACTGCGATGTGGGGCAAATGGGCAAAGTGAATGAGAAAGACAATTTTTGATTTTGACAAGCAAACTGTGTCTTTAATGTTTTTGCACAAATATTGATGCAAAAATTATTTTAAAAAACAAAAAAAACACTACACACTCAAATAGCAGCGTAATCTAGTGCATTTCTGTCTGTTAAAGTAACTGTATGCAGTTCAGACTTGTGCCGACTCGTTGAGCATGATGCGGAAATGTTACTCGACAAAGCAAGATTACCAGGGAGACTTTTATGAAAAGGTGACCAGGGTGTTCATTCAGACGTGAAGTCGACACATTTAGATGCCATCAAGATTAGTGGAAAAGAATGCGTGTCTGAAATGGGCTTAAGATAATTTGTCTGATGTCAAGGGAGGTAAGTCCAGGGAAGAAACCTTCACATTTAGCAGACTCCACCACTCACTTGGGTATCCTGCAGAGTGTCTCAAGAGGGGAATTATGGAAGATTAACAGGTTGCCCACATACCAGACATGTACCAAATTTCACATGAATCCATCCAATAGTTGTAATGAAATCTCACCTAAAAACAAAAATGTCAACCATGTGGAGGAAAAGTAGGATTCCTCTTCTGGAGACCAAGAATGTCGAGTACAAACTGTCAGTACAGTTACTCCAACAGTTGTGGAGATATTTCCTTTATTTCAAACTAACCTTTAGATGATCGTGCCATAATCAGGGCACTAGCATGAGTTAAACTACTTACCAAAAGCTTTGGCGATAGCAATACTCTCTATCAAGCCCATGAAGGGGATCACAGCGAGCCCTCCTCCAAAGTCCTTTGATAAACACAGAGAGGAAGACCGGTTAGTCAGCAGCTCAGAGTTGGAGAGATTTTGTGAAGTGGAAGTTGAAACTCAGACAATCAGCAAAACATTCAGGCTCTTCGTCCAGTAACCGGCTCCTCTTTCTTCTCCTTACCTTTACAATCTCTCCAAAGGGGACAACAGTGCCGTTGGCTGTGGTGTCTGACGTGGGTGGAGGTCGGAATGGGGGGAGTCCTTTGCTAGTTTGCCCAGTGATTGTGAACACTTTATGACCGTAAGCATCCCAGGAAAATGCTATGAGGGATGCAGCCACAACCACCAGGGCGTTACGCACTGAAACGACAAAGAAAGAGAAAAAATGTTTTTTAAAAAACTGAGTAATCAGGTGTTATGTTATTGTTTGCCAAAGAGAGCAGACACGCAGTCACAACCACACAGGTACTGACTGGTAGCAACAGTCCACACTAGTTTCCTGGCGACTCTGGAGGAGGTGGAGGCATCGTCTGCATCGTTGGACTCGAGACTCGCCTTCATGAACACCAACATGATCAGCAGAAAGAGACAAAGCAGCCCCAGGACCACGTCACCTATTCTGGCCTCTGGGATCTTGTAGAAGGTGTAGTAAACCTCCAGGAAAAACTCCTGAGGAATGCCCCGCAGTCCCAGAATATTCTAGAAAAAGGAACGACAGATAAAATCATTGACCTTACAAACACTTGAGTTTCAGACCCAAATCAATCAAAGTTCTCTTTTAACTACATTTCAGCCTCTGTGTTAGGAACTGTGAGCCTGTAGCAGGATGTTTGTAACTGAAAAATGGTGGATTAAGAAAACCCCAAAATATGTTATTTTTACTGTTTGGTACAAATCATGCACTAGACTGGCTTGTAGTTAAAGACAGAAGTGCTGATCCTACATCAGAAAGTTACAAATGCAAACTTGCAAATATATTTAAGGGCCACAAATAATCATCACAATAAAAATAAATATCGTTATACTTCCCTAAAGCTAAAGGTAGTCCCTTCAAATTTCTTGTTTTGTTTAGAAAATAAAGATATAAAGTTTATAATCATACTGGAAAAGGTGCCAATTTTCACATGTCACAACCTTGAACCTGAAACATTTTAGTAGTGTTGCTTTAATCAGTTATCAGAATACTTTGCAAGATTAAAGTTTTCTGTCCATTTACTAATCAACTCATTGTTTCAGCTCTTATATTTTTTTGGACCAAGAAACTGTCACTGAGCAGAACGTTTTCTAGTTGAAAAATAAAATTAAGTGGCTCTGTGATGGACAAGTTCTGTAATTTTTATCTTAAATCTATAGCATTTCTGCTGTGCTTCTGCTTTTTACTTAGTTACCAGTAAGCTAATATTGGTGCTAAAATACAGACTTTAGACTTAAGACCCTAAGTTTGTTAAAATATCCGCTTATTCCACTGATTTTCTTTTGCTTGTTTTTGTATGTGCACAATTGCTTTCTTGTGTACAATTGAATTTACTTTTGCTTTCTTTTCTATCCGTTTTTACTGTTGAATTATAAAGTTTATTGGATGGAAAGTATATTGGATGTACCGAGACAACATTGTGTTCAAAAAGGGATATTTTGGAAATGCACATATGTTCCTGTTTCTGTGTGTGTGTGTGTGTGTGTGTGTGTGTGTGTGTGTGTGTGTTTGTGCGTGTGTTTAACGCTCACTTTGACCTGGCCAAAGCCAATGGTGACTGCAGCAGCACAAGTGAAACCTTTTATTACAGGGTAAGAGATGAAGTCCAGGAGGAAGCCTGCAGAAGACGAGCAAAACAGCAAATGATTTACAGAGAAAAGACACTTAACCAGAAATAGTCAGCTGAGATCCAGAGATTTCACAAAAACTGAGTTTCTGAGAATTGGATGAAGCTCTGGAGTGACAAACTAAAAAAAATGTTTGGTATTCTGCAGCTCTGTTCCTATACCATTATCTTGACAATCTGTTTCTGTCTAAGAGTTGGTTTTAATGTGGAATTGCCAGTATTTGGGATTTTTGATACAGAGCAGAGGAGGTGATGCTAAACTGTCAGCGTCATCAGGCCTAAATTGTGTCTCAGTATAAACGAAATCCTAATTTGCTAAAAAAAAAAAAAAAAAAATCCTAATTTGCTAAAAAAAAAAAAAAAAGTCATCTACTTGGTTCACAAGCTTAGTCTAAATTTAGAAAGCCAAAACTTTGTGTCACAAGGTTTCCACATGACTTCCCTCACCTAATCTCAGTAATGCCATCACAGCCTGGATGAGTCCACAGAGGAGGCTGAGCAGCACGGCTCGCTGAGGCTGCCCCCCCACCACAGAGGAGCACAGGAGGGACATGATGGCCGTCGGACCCAGTGTCACGTCCTTAGAGGTCCCCAGTAGCATGTAGATGAAGCCCCCCATGAAAGCAGAGTAGAGTCCGTACTGGAAACAGAAAAGCTTTTTAATTAAAGACTGAACAGAGAATTTTACACATTTTCATGAATGTGCAAACCCCACCCCTCTGTTTTTATTTAGATGGTTGAAGTTTACTTCACTGTAATCTCTCAATTTTTGAGAGGAAGTAGATGATGCTTTCAGAATCTTTAATACAGCAACTTCTTAAATGTCTGAAAACTTTTCCAGAAACTTCTTAAATCTTGCTTGTTTTTTTTTTTTATTTGCCCTAACAATTTCCCACAATCCAAGGCGACATCTTTAAATGTCAATCAAAAGTTTAAACCCCAAAGGTATTCAAATAATAAAGACACAAAATAGTAAAAATGAGTAAGAATAACAACAACAACAAAAATTCCTCATTTATAATTATGGGAATAGTTGCAGGATAATATTCTGTTGATTAATTAATCATTTTAGCTCTAATAATTTTTAAAAAATGACAATATTTATGCAAAAAAATTCAAATTTGACAGGATTATGTTATTAATGAGCAAAATCAACTTGCATCTCATGTTTTACATCATCACTCAGCATAACAGATAGTTGTAGTTTGATAAACCTGCTGAGAAATCTGGAGATGGTTGAACCTAAATAAAAGTTGAATAACTTGAGAATCTTGAAATCCAACAGATGATAATCGGAGGTACTACCTACCTGCACAGGAAGCCCAGCTACTTCTGCATAAGCCAGCGCCTGCGGTACGGTTGTGAGCCCAACAGTGAGGCCTGCGAGGACGTCCATCTGCAGCCATTTCAGCTTGTACTTTGGTAGCCAGGACAGGATGGGCAGCCAGGCCTTCAGGGTGCCGTATGAACAGCAGCCCCTCGACGACTCCCCTCTCAGCAAGGGCCGATCCATCACACACTTAGAGAAGAAGGCAACCTGAAGGGGATGAAGAGACAAGTGCACAAAGATGAAATTATATTGCACGTATTCAAATGTGTGCACAAGGAGCATAACTACAGGAAAGACAATACTTACACAAAGTGATTAAATTTCCACCTTTACTTCATCAGCTTAGAAGTGCTGCTTGGTTTCTCGTGCTGTGGTTTGCCTCCTGAGATGTCCAGCATTCAGGAAACTACAACAACGATGCACTGTGTCCCTGCATGTGTCATCTCGCTCATTTGTATTTCTTGAAACCAAGTGAAACCATATCTTTAGGGGCATGCTGCCACCTGCGTGTAATGGAAATTTAAAAAAAAAATTAAAAAACAGTAAAAGTCAACTACAAGCAAGTAAGCAACCAGTTCACACAGAGAATAACCACTTATTACACATCTGTTCACAAGGTCAAGTCAGTATTTTCAGGTCCTCAGTGGAGAGATATGCGTTTGTGTGACCCATGACCTAAGTTATCTTTCCAATCATATGATGATCATAAGACAGGTTGATTCCTTGTATACCTGTATCTGAACAGCATGAACATTTCTCCACTAGCCACAAAAGTCCCTTAACAAGGAAATAGTCTTAGAAATACTCCCCAGTGTAATGTAAGCTGCCAGCGGTCTGATCTTGCATTGCGAGATTTTTCTTAACTCTCACTGTGTTTGATAAAGTGTTAGCCTCTCAAGTCATCCCAGTCATAATAAGAGATTTAGTACAAAGCAACTGGACTTCTCTTTTTGGTTCTTGAAGACCTTTCACCTCTAATCCAAAAGGCTTCTTCAGTTATAACTTTTTACTAGCTTTTTACTGAAACTTTTGCAATTCTCCTTGCTGCATAGGTAGCTTCTGAATATCACAGAACAATAAGATTTTACAAAAACAGTAAGATGTGCAGAATAGTCCAGAATAGAAACATAAAATAATACAGCAGAACATAAAAGAACAGAATGAAATCAAAAATAGAATAGGATGTAATATAATAGCATAGAATAAAGATGTAATAGAATATAATTTAATAGTACAGAAAAGACAGTAAATAAAAATATTCTTGCCAAATCTGATGTCTTCCTCCTGCACATAATTCCGTGGTCCAGCTGTGATTTTTAAACCCGCTATTGCTGCTTCAGTGAAAAACCACTTCTCAAAATTATGACATTTCGCTGATGAAGCGGCGAACAGGAGTTCCTGTTTTGTCTCGTCATGTGACTTCCGTCATGTGACCGCAGGGGGCGGGGCTTATGTTGTTTAAGGAAGACGTTTAAAATGTACTTGTGTTAGTCGTGGAAGGGATGAAACTGTTACATTTCTCAACTTATGTGCTTATTTTAACCACCGAATCTGTTTTCTTTTATTCAGTTTAATAGTTGTGACTCACTTTAGAAGTTTTACGAGGTTTTGAGTCGTCTAGGCGAGATTCTGGCGTCATGCTGCCTGAGTTGCTCGTTCTCATGTTAGCTTCCTGCTGCATCGGCGAGTCAAAGAGGAGAAATGTGCTTCTAATCATTGGTGAGTGAACATTGCTGTCCAGTAACGCCGTCAGAGACTTTAAATCCCTCTTGAACTCATCAAAATGTTGAAATAAACGCTCAGTTGCCAGCTTATTAGGTACACTTAGCAAAACTAACAGGTTTTTACAGAGGTCTTCAGTGAAGTGGCTGACCATCTTAAAGGCTTTGGTGCTGTTGTGTTCTTTTTTTTTTTTCATTGTTCATTTCCATCAGTGAGGGTAGACTCAGTAGCAGAATCACCTCACTGTATGAAACAATACAGCTCAACAGCAACACAACTTAAATTAAAAATAAAGATTAATTAAGCTTTTAGCAAGATGTGCTTAATAAACTGATTGTAAGTGTCTAAAATGCACAACATCTTCGAGTGTGGTACTTCCTGTGATGTTGTATCGCAGCATGAATAGAGATTATACTCAAGAAAGTAGTGTATTACACAATACTCTCTACTTTTTTAAAAACCATATGTAATAAAAATGCAATGCAATGTATTTATTTACTCCCTGTAGAAAACAATTCATTGTTGTACTTGTTGAATTACTTTAGCATCACTTCACAACATCTTCTATGATGCATTTTCACCCAACTGACGTCCATCCATCCATTATCTATACACCGCTTACCCCTCACTAGGGTCTAGGGGGGCTGGAGCTTATCCCAGCCGACTCAGGGCGAAGGCAGGGAACACCCTGGACAGGTCGCCAGTCTATCACAGGGCTACACTTCGAGACAGACAACCAAGCACACTCACATTCACACCTGTGGGCAATTTAGAATCACTAATTAACCTCAACATGTTTTGGGACTGTGAGAGGAAGCCGGAGAACCCGGAGAGAATGTGCAAACTCTACGCAGAAAGATCCCAGGTGTTCTAACCGGGACATGAACTGGGGAACTTCTAGCTGTTTGTCTGTCTATCTATCTATCTATCTATCTATCTATCTATCTATCTATCTATCTATCTATCTATCTATCTATCTATCTATCTATCTATCTCGAGGCCCAACTACCCAACTCACCTTAGTATAGCACAGCATGTGTTAAACAGTCAATTACAGATGTGTTAAAATGGTCAGAAGAATTTCTGAGAGGAGTCAGGCAAAGCTTTTATGTTCTTTATAAGAGACAGATCCTTATGAGGGCAAATGTTTTAAATAACTAGTTTTCAAATCAAATACTAGGTGCATCATAATTCTGTGTAATTGTTTAACATTCTTGTTTGGCCCCCAAATCCACATTCCAAACTAACTTTCAGTAGGTTTTTGTTAAGGATTAAGTTTGCTGTCAGTGGACAAGTGACAGAATGATTTAGAGTGTGTTGTGTTGTTGTTTTCCTAAAATACAATACAAAAATGAAACTTCTTCTCAAGACGGGTTTTGCAAACTAGCTTTTGCAATAAATGATACTTGCATTGAATAGCTGTTTTTACTGTATCTGTGCATGTGCCAGAGCTGTCAGAATCATTCACTGTATAGGGGGTTGAAGCTGTTGCCCCCAGATCAAGGAGATCCAAAAGACTTCATGTCTCTTTTATCCCTAGTTCTGTTGGTATGCTTAATGAAAATCAGCAGTGTGGCTTCCTCTTTGCTCTACTTTGGGACATCTGCACACATGCACATTTATATTTGGTATGTGGTGGTATATTGTTGTTGTCACTTTAGCAGCAGAACAATTTTCCCCAAGTGAGACAGTGAAGGTTGCCTCAAACCTCAGATGTTTGAACACTGTTTGCCGTGCAGCGTAAGAGCTAAGAATTGTAAGTGGATTGATTTGGATGCAGACACCTCACACACATCATGTTGAATTTCTGTCTTTTCCCTCTTCCAGCCGATGATGCAGGTTTTGAGACGGAGGTTTATAACAACTCAGTGGTCCATACGCCCCACCTGCGCTCTCTGGCCCAGCGCAGCGTGGTGTTTAACAACGCCTTCACATCTGTCAGCAGCTGCTCTCCGAGCCGCTCCGCCATCCTGACTGGCCTGCCACAGGTAAGACACACAAATATATGTGCAGCTCTCATTTGTGTTTGACTGCAAAATATTGATTTGTGTTTGTTCTGTGTTTCAGCATCAGAATGGCATGTACGGACTTCACCAAGGGGTTCATCACTTCAACTCTTTTGATGAAGTTCAAAGTCTTCCACTGCTGCTCAAACAGGCCAACGTGCACACAGGTGAACCAGTTTATCTCATGTATACCCTCTTCAATACTCTTGTTTTTAATAACTTTTTCTCACATCTTTTCTCCCATTTTGTTCTCACAGGTATAATTGGAAAGAAGCACGTCGGCCCTGGATCTGTTTACCCTTTTGACTTCGCCTACACAGAAGAAAACAACTCTGTCCTCCAGGTGGGGAGGAACATCACCCGCATCAAACTCCTGGTCCGCAAGTTTTTCCAGACCCATAAAGAAGAAGCCTTCGAACGAAGGCAAGAGAAACAAGGAAACGGAAATGATATCAAAGACGAAGAGAGGCCGTTTTTCCTTTATGTCGCCTTCCACGACACCCACCGATGTGGACATTCACAGCCCCAGTATGGAGCTTTCTGTGAGAAGTTTGGAAATGGTGAAATGGGGATGGGGAGAATTCCTGACTGGACGCCAGAATATTACAAACCAGAGCAAGTAAAGGTCGGTGATTAAAGGTTTAATGTTTTATTATGTAGAAAGAAATCCCAAATAATTATAATAGAAGAGGACTTATTATAAGGAATAAGGTTTATTAGCTTTAAAACATCGAGATAATTTATGTTAAATGACTTTTTTACCTCTGTATCCTGTAATTGTTTGAACAAATAAATTCATATTTTAAGATATTTTTACATAGTTTTTTTTTTTTACATATCTTTGTCGGTGTTGTGCTGTTGCCAGAACAACAATTTCCCTGAGGTACCCTACCAAACGGATCAATAAAGTTCTATCTACATATTTCTTTTATCATAGTACTTAATAACATATTTTGTGTTAATTTTTTTATGTTTATGTATTACAAAACAGAGATATGGACATTTCGGCAATAGAAACTAATATAAGCTTCAGAGCATCTTGTTGTCTCTATTTCAACAATCAGTGTCATCTAATGAGTTATGATTCTCATATATTACATATTTTTCTGTTTAATTCTTGGTGACACTTCCACCAATGCAAATCACAAACCCAAATATTTTATCTTATTGTATGAAAATAAATCTGAAAGGCATACTTACTGAAATAAAGCACAGAGCTCCTGATACATGTTCATCTGGTCTTGTGTACTTCAGGTACCTCCTTTTGTGCCGGACACACCGACAGCAAGAGCCGACTTGTCTGCTCAGTACACCACAGTGAGCAGACTGGATCAGGGTGAGTAACCTGCACACACAAACAAAAAAAGACTGGAGCTGCTGTTGCAGAACATTAAACTGTAATGGTGCGAATTTCCTCTACAGGTATTGGATTAGTTCTTCAGGAGCTCAGAGAAGCCGGTTATGAGAACGACACTCTGATCATCTACAGCTCAGATAACGGGATCCCCTTCCCCAATGGTAGAACCAACCTGTATCAGTCCGGGACGGCAGAGCCCATGCTGGTGTCGTCTCCAGAGCACAGGCAGCGCTGGGGAGACACCAGCCAGTCCTACGTCAGCCTGCTGGGTAAGAAATGGAGGGAGAAACTGAGAGCTCCTGGTGGAGAAGTTCACTTTTTAAAATTAAAAACAGTCTAGCAGCCTCTTACTGTGAGCACAGTGTCAGCTACAGGTTCTAGTTTAATACTTACACCAGCTGTTCCAAAATTATTTTCATTTGTGAATAACAATTATTTCCTTGTTTAAAAACCGTTTAACTAAATATCAATGAAGGAAGGGTTTCAGTGTGTTTATCTGGTGTGCTAAAGTGGCCACAAGAGGGAGACTTAACAATAATGAATCAGCAGCAGACCTCAGAAAAAAAGAGGATACACATGAAACTGAATAGGTGTATATATGGCTGGATTACTCCAATATTACAATTTTCTATTATGGAGCACAGAGTACTTTTACAGTGTTTGAGCAGAGTTGCTTATGTACTCAAGTGGCAGCGGGTGAGAAGAGGTAGATGGACTCCTTAGATCAGCAAATTCTTGAAGAAACAGCAGTGTAGCGTTACATCTAAGCCAGTTTAAGGTAGGAAGGGATTATTTTCATGGGAAAAAAACAAAACAAAAACGTCTAAATACATAAGTCTAATATACAAAGATATTTTTCTAAGGGATCAATCAATGACTACAGAGGGACTTTAAATTGTTGTTTTTTTTTGTTGTGAATTAAGAATTTTCTCAGCCATTAAAAAACATGTAACCCTTGTATTCATCTGAAATATTAAAAATATTAAAAAATACATGGAGATACAGTACTTTAATTGGACAGTGATGTTTAGAAAAGATGTCTCTCTATGAAACAACAGAAGCACTACACTAATTCTAAGTATGTGTACAGTATTTAGCTTTTTTATTGCAACAATAAAGTAAATATAAAAATTACTTTTCACGTGTTACCTCAGATGAGATGCTGGCTGTCTTAATATTTAGTTGTATTTTTTTTGCAGATATCACTCCCACCATTCTGGACTGGTTCTCTGTTTCCTACCCATCCTACATCCTCCCCAGCAGCCCGGCCTCCCCGGTGCACCTCACTGGTCGCTCCTTACTTCCAGCTCTGGTGGCTGAGCCCAGCAGCTGGCACACCGTCTACTCCAGCCAGTCGCTGCACGAGGTCAAGACGCCACCAGCACCCAGATATACCGTCTCATGAAGGAACCCAACACCAGGTCCTTGACTGCTCTACTGTCGTTTTGATTCCAGGTAACCATGTACTACCCAACTCGCTCTGTCCAGCAGGGGCCCTACCACCTTCTCCACAACCTACACTACCGAATGCCCTTCCCCATCGATCAGGATCTGTACGTGTCGCCCACCTTTCAGGACCTGCTGAACCGCACCAGGCTGAGTCAGCCAACGCACTGGTTTAAAAGCCTGGAGCAGTATTACTACAGAGAGCGCTGGGAGCTGTTCGACACCAGGTCTGTTACAGCCGCTAACGCTTACTTTGTTCAGAGTTCAGTCTGATTTTAGCTTCGGGGAGCAAAATCCTCCATGCGATGATTCACAAGTACATATCAGTCAATTAAAAAGACATTTGGTAAATGAGTTAGTAGATCCTCACAGGACAGGTAAGATACAACTCGACCTCAATTGATGGATGACACAAGACACAGTGACTCAAATTAGATAAACCTGCAGCAGTAAAAAGTTTAAGTGAAGGAACTGGTCAGAAAATGTACTAAATCAGAATCACATTTTAATATTCTTGAGAGGAAACAGCTCTTGCTCAAAAAGTGTAGAAATCAATCCCTACAAAGTCTATGATTTCCAAGACCACAGCAGTACTGAGGTCAAAAACATTTAAAAAAATTAATGTGTTACATTTATTTTACTTACTATCAATAGGCAGACAGGTTTTAATATGGTCAGTCCAGATTTATTACTGTCAGAATTTTAAATCCGAAACACTATCATGATTGATTTATGATTTCTATCTTTGTTACTTTATTTTTTCTTGAAGCATAGTAACGAGTTGAAAAGTGAGAAAGCTGCTGGTAATGATTGTTTTCCCCTACAGAACCGATGAGTCTGGTTTTGTCATGACTTAAATTAACTGTCAGTAGAAAGATTGTGAACTAGTCGGGTCAGACATATCAGCAGACCTTTAGCTCCAGTCCTGACGTGTCTCTTTACACTGCCAAATGAATAAAAAGGAAAGCTCAGACTAAACAGAGAGTTCACATTTTATAAACCAAACTAGGAACGGATTCATGAAAAAATACGACAGATTAATTAATAATATAAATGACAATGAAACTTAATCAGATTTGCTTTTTTTCTCTGTAATCGAAACAAAGATGCTAATAGAGGATAGAAACTGATCGCAGATGTTGTATTTAAAGCATAAATTAGCTTAAAGCTTGTAGTTCAACCTGAATTTCAACAACCAGTTATCACGATCACAATCTGGATTTACGATCTGTAATTTAAAAGCATCTGATAAATTACTTTAATAACTATAATGCAGGTTTATACAGTTAAGGAGATTTTTAAGTGATTATTATTGTACACATACACTCGAAAGATGTTTTATAAAAATGTGCAGATATGTTATTATATATATTATCAGGATGCTTCGTATTATTACACCTGTATTTTACTTTATTGTCATTCATTATCTGTTTATAAGCAGCGCTCACTCCTTCCAAAAGGAGGTATTAGAACTTTAAAAATAATAAACATTGAGAAATACTTTATCAGTGCTTACTGCTACATTACACAGTATGTTATGTAGAGATTTTAAAAGCTAAACAAATGAATTAAAGTAAAATGCTGCTGAGTTGGGTATATTTCTGTTTTAGAATTTAGTATTTTTAAACTCAGTATATTCAAGCTTGACTGTTTTCAGACCAACAAATTTTAAAAATGAACATCAGTTACACATCATGTTGGGAAATAAAATGGTAATACTTTATGCTACAAACATAAAGACAAAAGTCTAACAAATTTACCAGAAAAAAATGGTAGAAACAGAAAAATCCAGCTGTCTTAGTTAATTAAACTTATAAATCCTTCTTTTTTCTGCTGTGGTTTGGATACTTCAGTGTCTCTAAAATCTGTTCATATGTATAAGTATTAACAAATGCTTCCTCACCACAGGACAGACCCTCTGGAAACGAAGAACCTGGCGTCGGACCCGTCCTTCGGCTCCGTGCTGGAGAGCCTGAGGCAGCGTCTGCTGAAGTGGCAGTGGGAGACCGGAGACCCCTGGGTCTGCGGACCAGACTACGTCCTGGAGGACAAGCTAGAGCCTCACTGCAGACCTCTCTACAATGGACTGTGATGGACTCTAATGGTACTTTCACTCATCTTGATTGACATGATGTCTGCTTGCATGAGTGCATTTACCTTTAAAAATACATGACATTTGTTTGTAATTTATATTTTTGTACATCAGTGCTGCTTTTAAAGCTCAAGAATAAACACAATTTGAGTTGGATTAGTTTGTGAAATCGTTTTAAGTAAAACATTCTTCTTCCTTATTCTATTGGATAATTTCATCTTTCAAGTCTGTCTTATCTTTTTAGGCATTTTGGGTGCATTTTCCCATCATCCAGACCCCCACGCAACCCTGTATGATAGAAGAGCAACATAATAGACACCATTTAACTGTTTTTGATTATTATTCAGTTGAACAGACGGAGGCTGATCTGCTGATTACACAATCGGTGGACTTGAACAGGGTTTGTATTGACGGAGGCCCGTTTTCCCTCAGAGCTCCTCACTCAAGTACGACTGATTCACTTTAACACCCATTTTAGAAAGCTGTTGAAACTTAACACAATTTGCATCAGTCGATCGCTCACCGTGCTTATTGATCTGCTCATCAGTTCACTCCTAATCTGTCCATTTTGGCTCAGGTTGAAGTCTTTAGAAGCCTTGTGTGCTGAACCTGCTTTGTGTAAGCATCAATGGCTTGTACACCGATTTAGCCACAACATTACAACCACCACCAGATTTTGTGTAAGTCCTATTTTTGTTGCAAAACCAGCTCTGACCAATCGGGGGATGGACTCTGGGGGGGTCCTGTGGCGTTTGTTACCAGGATGTTGGCAGTGGACCCTTCCTGTCCTGTGCTGTTGTGGAATGGAGCCTCAGTGGATCTGGTTTGTTCCAGTGAATCTCATGGATGGGATTTGGAAAGTTTAGAGGTCGGAGCAGCACCTTTGTTGTGTTCCTTGAGCTGTTCCTGTGTAGTTTTTGGGCTGTGTCGGGGTGCACTGTACTGATGGAGGAAGCTGCTGCCAGGTTTCCAGCAGAACATTGTAACAAGATGATCAATGTCATTCACTCCACCTGTCAGTGGTTTTAATGTGTTAGCTGATCAGAGTTACTCTGGAAACAAACCAATCTGCCTGATTTACTTCCAGAAGATACACTGAGACATTCAGAAAATGTTGGATCAATTAGTTTGTCCAATTAGTGAAACACACACAACCTCCCTCCACACTTATTAACTACCAGGACATCTTTGAGTTACGACCTCCTGCGTCAGTGTATGCCCTGATGTTCATCTATTTCACTTTAACCCCTGCAAGCGTCAGAGGCTGGCTGACGTCCCTACGCCTCTCCAGCCCCCTCATACCACACACACGCCTCCCCTGGCGCCACCAAACCATCAAAATCTGATCAATTCCGATTGTTTTTTCTTCTCTCTGAAGACGGATCATCATCAGCCCACCTCAGCTCTGATTTGACGAACCTCCTGGGTCACGACAACGTCACCCATTCAGCCTATATAAGCAGCAGAAACTTTTCGAAACACCCAGCAAAAACAAACGGACCAAGAACAGACGAGAAAAGCGCCGTTTTCCTTTTGCGTAAAAAGTGACAAGACGGTTCCAGACATGGAGAGGTCAGTGCGGTTTGCCGTGGTGTGCGTCGGAGTGTCTCTACTCATCTCCTGCCATCCAGTCGAAGCCTGGTACAAGCAGTCAACCGGGCCCAGTTACTACTCGGTGGGTCGCGCCTCCGGTTTGCTGTCCGGTATCAGGAGGTCACCGTACGTCCGGAGGTCCGAGTCTGAAGAGACGCTGCCAGACAGCGGGGAGACAGCAGGTAACAACGTGATCACAGAGACTAACAGGCAGATCTCCATCCTAAAAAGCATGGTAAGTGCACCTAAGATGCTACAAACTCTATTACTGTCTGAGGAGGCTTTGTGTGTGTGTGTGTGTGTGTGTGTGTGTGTGTGTGTGTGTGTGTGTGAGTGTGTTTTTACACAGATGTAAAATGAAGAAAAAGACGCGCGTAAAGTTTGCTTTCCATTCAAGAGCCACACTTATGTCAATTTTTAAATGTTGAAAGTTAGCAATAGCAAAAGCAAACATACATCATAAATATATTACATTCTAGTTTAGTTTCACAAAGGTAAGAAAACAAATAATGGGGGGAAAAAAAGCCAAGAACTCGTGCGTAAAAATGTTCAAACCAGTGCGCACCGAAGGTCAAAGCGCTGTTTTATGTTCATAAAACAGCTATTTACAAATCTACTACAGAAACTTAGGGTTTTTTTTGAAATTTCTGCCTCAGGAAAACACCTGACTAACGACAACAATTCAGGAAGTTATAAAATAGTTCCACACTAATTCTTAACAGTAAATTAAATACGCACAGTACACATAATTTGAAGTGTTAAAAAAAAAAAAAGTTAAATACAAGCTCTTAAAGGTTGATTTGAAGAACACGGACAGTATTTGGTCCCTATATAAATGACTAGAATCACCTTTTCAGTTTAAATTTCACCTCCTGCAGGCCATCTGCGTGAAGGACATCTCTCCAAACCTAAAGAGCTGCGAGCTGCTGCGGGACGGGACGGGCACCTTCCAGTGCAAGGCGGACGTCTTCCTCACCCTGGACTCGCTGGACTGTCTGTCCGCCTGAGTCCCGGTCGGACCGCGCAGGAGACAGTCCTCATCCTCCACCGAATCAAGCGCAAATCTGGAAGAAAGAAATGAGGGACGGATGAGTGTGGAGGGGGTTTGGAGGGTGATGGCGCAGAGGGAAACCCGATAATTGTCGATAATGGACCGCTGCAGACTCTGAATGTTCTCTCTTATTTAAAACAAAAAAACACATTCACAAGCATTGATCAGTTTTGCTTTGGTTGCATAAACAGGAGTGTAAAAGAAAAACAAGACAAAAAAACAAAACAAAAAAACAATGTGAGAGAAACGTTAGTTGAAACCGTTTTCTTTCCAGGTGACTTTTCATCTTTACTGTTGAACCCCCTGACATGTACCTGTGTTACCACAATGCATTAAATGTCCAGAAAGTTGACTGCAGAGCAGATTTCCTGGAAAGTACTTTTATTTATTTTATCTATTAAAATGAACAAACACTGGTTACCTGCTGTGTGGTTTAAATTTGTCTTCAAGTCTTTTAACATAACATATCCAGCATGAGATACATTTATCCATTCACATGACCAACCTCAAGGAAAATAAAAAATTACAGCCTCTCATATGTATTTTGTACTGCAATGCCAGTGCAGTACAAACCATAAAATAACAGTTTGCGAACATAACACCTAAAAGAGTCGAGATACAGAATGAAACATGATTCTGGAGGTGGAAAGAGAAGGGAAAATACACATTTCACACACGTATGAATCATCTAAATAACGGGAAAAGAGTAAAACCACTTCATCATAAGGCACTTGGGGGTGTTTTCCCCCTTTCTTTCAGTTTCCATATCAGGCTACATCAGCCATTTCCATATCTTGTTTATTACTGGAGTCAGAGTAGCTGTTGACAGCAGAGTCAGTTGCTCAGGGGAGCCCTCAAAACAAACTCCAACAGAGTTTACGACACACAAATCACAAACAGGAGACATCATCCTGCTTGAAAAACATAAAAATAAAAATCAGGGTTTATGTGTGTCAGATTCTGCAACAATAACCATCACAGGTGAAAGGAAGGAAATCAAACACAAGTCAGACCCTTCGGGAATTTTTTTTTTCTTTTTTTCCCCAACACACGCTTTCTAATATTCGGTTTTCTCAGCATCATCGCTGATTGAACTGAGTCCGGGGAGCGAGTGAAGGCTCAGATTAAAATGCACGCCGTGTGGGTGATTTCAGCTCAAGTAAACACAAACTGATGCTGCTTTTACAGTGATCAGCGCCTCATTAGGAGGGTGTGACGCACAGCATCTGCACAGCGGAGACACAGTGATGGATGAGCGGAAAACACATGATGGTATGCATGAGTGAGCCGAGGAAGTTAACGAACAAACAGTAAATCCTCATCCGCCTCCCTGTTCTTGCCTCCACACAAGGCACAAATAAACGTATGTATATATCAAGTCTTCAGAAAAAAAAGCAACTGTTCATGGTTTGATTTTATAGTACAGTACATATTAATGCCCATTACTTTGAACATAAAGTTTCAAAAGTCAGCATTTTATAGGGCTCAACCCAAAAAACAAAAGATTGGCCAAGAGGTCCTTCACCTTCATGTGTTTTAAAAGCTGTAAAGGAAGAAACGCAACATCATCAACCTCCTAATGGAGGAAGAAGATAGCAGGCGACATGTTCGGATGAGATGATCTTCGCACCCTTCTTCTGATCATTTCGGTCTTTTAAAACGAGACATCCAAAGTCTAGTGGGGTCTCGTCTTCCTATCATTTCTGCAGTTTCACAGGAGCGACACCGCCTCCAGGTTCTCCTTGATGATCGTGTCCATGACCACCTGGAAGACGACCTGGATGTTGGAGGTGTCAGTCGCCGTGGTGAAGTGGTGGTAGATGAGCTTGCTGGGCGCGGCGTTGAGCGAGACGAAGGTGGCGGCGATGAAGCGGGCGGCCGAGTCCACGTCACAATCGGCACCTGGAGGAGATACGAGAGTTTACAGTAAAACATCTGGCTGAGGGTTAGACTATACCAAGCAGATGTACTTGTACAAGTATGTAGGTCACTTTTTTTTCATTCAAAATTAAATTTAGATATTTGTGTTTTGGATTTAAATAAACAGAAATAGGATTATAAAATAAAAACTTTGAACAACCACAACAAGCAGCAAACTACTTGCTCCAATAGCTAAACCAAGTCATGCCATTGACTAAGCAGTAGAAGAAATATTGAAATCCTTCCCTTAAGTAAATGTACCAATACGTCAATGTAAATACACTCCATTACACGTGAAAGTCCATGTACTGCAGCGAAATGGGCTCCTGTGGTTGATACACATTACTACATTTAAGGTAATTCCATCTCAAATCATCTGAATTTTAGAACAATTTCTGTTAAAAAAGCTCAAATTCTGCAGAGTCCTGCAGCCTTGGGGAGATGACGATGATGTTTATGTCACATGGACTCTTGTGTACTTGCATAACATTTAAGGCCTTAATCATACTCCCTCGCAGACATCATCAGCTGCTGTTATTAGACCAGTGTAATACTTCCCATGTCTGTGAGCCCACTAGAGTACAATTACAATTTCATTTAGCAGACGTGTTTATCCAAAGCGACTTACATCTGAGAGTTGATCACATTCATACACCAATGGCGACAGAGCTGCCGTGCAAGGTTCCTGCCTGCCATTGGGAGCAACTTCAGGTCTTGCCCAAGGACACTTCGACTGTGGAGCGGTGGGGGATTGAACCTCCAACCTTGCGATAAAAGGTTAACTTGCTCTACCACCTGAGCCACAGCCGCCAACGAATGATGTAGAAGTATAAAGTCCATAGGAGTCTGCACGGACGTCTATGCAGGTGTCCACATGCAGCCCAAAGTTTCATCTGTGCAGCTGTTACTCTGCAAGCATGGAATATGGAGATGCCGACCTACTGCACGAAGAGTCTGTGCGGGCTGTCGAGGACTCAGGTAGTTGATAAAGTTTACATCACACAGACCATTGTGTGCTTGCAGATGCAGAAGTTAGAACACTAGTCTTTAGGGGTCAGAAATGTTTAAAGGGTCACAAACACACCAGAGAGGTCTCGAGTTAAATAATAGGGGCAGAGATGAAAAAGCAAATTGTGCGAAACAAATCTGTCATTTTTCAGCCTCTATCACTAGTCTTTGATTTTTTTATTGCTTTATTATCATAAGTTAAATGAAATCATGGATCCCAATTAGAAACAAAGCAACAAAGGGGAGATCTACTGTCTTCACCTGGAACAGAGATGTTAATAATCTCATCAAAATAAATACAGTACTTGAGTAAATGTAGTGTGGCTGCAACAAATGATTAATAATAAATGAAGGTTTTTGTGTAACAAATTAATTTGAATGAGCACATTTAGTAGACGGGTTCGTGCTCATCTGATGGAGCTGGGCGTCACGATATTAAGCCTCGTCATCATATCTGAGGTCGTGGATGTTTGCTCTGCCGGCTGACCCCAATCCGAAGCGTTTCCGCATTTTTATTGACATTTGCATGAGAGCAGAAGGGACGCAGTCGAGCTCGCTGAGATGAAAATAAAAATGCTGAGCAGGTACAAAAATCTCCCCAAAATAACACTATAAAAAATATCAGCCTGTCTGTGAGTTTAAAGACCCGAAACTAAACTGAGCACACTGATCCTCCCTTAGATGAAGGAAATGTACTTTCCAAGATATTTTTGCACAACAACATTCCTGGATGTCACAGGAATTTGCATATTAATAAGTTTAGAAGGGACATTTTAAGGACTTTACTGGATTGATGAAGTTTTGTCATAAACAGCCTACAGCTGTATTCATGATTCTCAGTGCAACTCCTTCCTCCTGTATCCAGAAAGACAGTCTGCTGACGTTTCAAAGCTATTAACATCATGTCACAGTGTAGAGGCTTGTGTGAGGCAGATTTGAACCAGAAGTCAAAGATCAGTTATGTTCTGGTGCAGCAGCTGTAGAAACAGGAAGGTTTAATAGCGTCCATTAAATGATGATCTAAAGGCGACACCATTTGACTTGTTTTGTGTTCAAGAAAGGGACATTTTTTTATGCCACAAATTCGTTATTTATGAACATAATAAAGTTCAGTTTTTGGTAAAACTGAGAGACGTGTTAGTTTAAGTGGACTTCTCACTAGGGTCATAGCTGCACTACAAAAACAGCAGATTTAACTGAGCCTAATAATCTTTTATATACTAGTCTTAATGGGTTATTCTGGGCTTTCTAAGAAATTCAAGTAAATGTCACTTGCCTTGTGTTGATGAGCAACTTCATTAGATTTATTTTTTTAACTTATCTATCAATGGGCTTCTTTTGCATTTACTAGGCTTAACTAGATTGCTTGAAATTAGTGTTATTCTAAGATTTTGTGGGCGATAATGACAATCTGACAGATGTAAAATTCACCTACTGCACTAGTCATCAGTTTTCTTGTTTTGAGTGTAAGTATTCTTATATCTAGAAAGTTTGGCCTTAAATCAGAAAGCGTGTTTTGTGGTGGTGGTGTTGTTGTTGTAGTGGACTGCATTATATTCAAGCGCAATATTCTTCTTCTTCAACAATAAAACACAGACTATAGTTAAATTAAAATCTCTAAAAATCAAGCATCATCTTTGGAAAGATGTGGTTTCTTAAGTATGTATATATCAATCTGTTTTTTCTGCAGTTCTGTTACATGATATGAACCTGACAGCTGACACAAGACATGTCTTGTTTACATTTTTATATTTTTTAAGGGTACTATGAAGTGCAATTATATATATATATATATATATACACTACTCTGCATGTAACTCAACAGCTTGCGCCACAGTAGTTCACTAAAGTTAACTCATATTTTTAAGAAACACCTAAACATTGGTGTATAAAATGATATTTGATTTGATCATAATTGTATCCTCTGTATTGATATTTAAACCTTTTCCACTCTTCTCCTGTTTCGGAGCAAAAAAAAAAACAAACTAAAATGCCAAACCCAGATTAAAACGGCTGTAGCTTCTGATGCACTCAAAATTGGAGTTTTTGTCAGAACAAAAAAAGTTTCATAAAGGCTTCTTGTGAAAGTATCAGAAAACCCAGAGGTAAGTCAGAAATGAAGCAGTGAAGGGCCTGCGAAGTCAGTTAAAGATTTTTGTCAACCTAAAATAAAAAACAATATTTTCCAGTATCCATAGTTTATATACTATTTGTAATTCAGTAAAATGCTGCAAAACTTGACTTACAGTGGTCAGGTCTCGCACTGATTTTGAACACTGTGTTTGTCTAGGCTGATTTTGTGCAAAATAGAAAAGCAAATAAAAGAAAATTTATTCTATTTTTTTCAAAGAAAAGGACTTTGTGAATTCTTCAATACCAAATACTTCCATGTTTACTGACATAGTGGCAAAATGTAGGATGGGGAAGGGACTGCAGATGTGGGTGTCAACAGGGAAAAAACATGCAAAAGGATAGGGAAAGAAATAATTATATAGATCAAAATATAGTTTTATAGATGGATTGAGTGGAATTAGGATAATAGAAGGTTTAAATGGACGTTTGAATTTTATTTGAAGGTTTTCGACAAAGGCATACCACACAATTTTTTTCTCTTTTTACATTATTTATACTATTTAGTTTCGTATTTTATTCATAGCAGCTACGTTAATGTACATTTTCTTACATTTATAATGTGTATGTGATTATTACTTCACTTGAGTTCATATGTAATGTTTCCTTCTTAATTAATGTAAACAGGAAAAAAGCTAAATTTATAAAATATTTGGTCACCAATAAAAGGCTTTTGTCTTGGACTACACAGTTGTATCTAATAAAGTGGCCACTGAGTGTAAATTTGTTTGTGTTTGACTGATGTTTCCCCACTGTAGTGATATTTCTGGAGTCTTACACCGTCCATTTGAGCATCAATAATTAATATCATTCCTACCTTTAAAATGCGGCAGGTATAACCGCAGATGTCGTCCAGAGTGTAAAATCTTGTCTTGAAAAAGATCTATCTTGTTCATGAATAAAATCTGCAATAAAAAACAAACAAAAACAACAATCAACTGAGAGCTCAACAAGCTCATCAAAGCCACATCCTCTCCAGCAGAAATAAGAAAAATCAATCCGAAAGATCATGAGAAAAGGAAAGCGTTTGATTTGATTTGGTGACTCCCATCTACAGCAGTGCAATAACTACCCAAACCATGAAACCAATAACAGCCACATTTATTGTCAATTACAGATATTTACGCAAAATGCAAAAAAAAAGTAAATCAATGACTGTGATGATACAAGCACGGGGGTGATGACAGTGGATCAATGACTTCGCTCCACGCATCAGTGTGCAATCGATGCCTCACGTGGTCTCCGGTGTAAAAAGAGCTCAACAGGCTCAGCGGCTGCTGCTTTCATAAATCTCTGTCCTTCTGCTGTTTGTGCTTCAACTTGTGCTCAGCTGGTGCCACGCTGCACGAGCACTTTTGGCTTTGTAGTTAACCAATTAAAACTACAGCTAAGTTCTGTTTTTTCCGGCCTGTCTGATCGCAAAAGCAAACATGCACAAAAAGCCCCTGATAATAACGAGGTGGGGGGATGAGGTAGAGCAGATTTTCAATGAAGAGGATACGGAGCAAAACCTAGGTGTGTAATTACCACTGACCAGCCACACTGAAGAGTTAATTGAGGTGGAGGTTACAAATTCTCCTCCTACGTAAAAAAAAAAAAGGGCATCATTAAACACTTTTGTTTAATGAGCCTGTTAGCCGTGTTAACGTGCAGGCCCACACACAACCCTGCACATAAACACATCACACACAGACATTTAATTGCCCATTTGGCTCTAATGAAGCCTCAAATAAGTTTTTTTATGTTTAAAAAAAAAAAAAAAAAAAAAGGATAACCTACTAAAANAAAAAAAAAAAAAAAGGATAACCTACTAAAAGAGACGCTTTGGTGCAACACTTAAAACTTTTATGCAAAGACATTTCCTGCAAAAGTACGTCTTTGTTTAAAAAAAAAAAAAAAAAAAAAAAAGGATAACCTACTAAAAGAGACGCTTTGGTGCAACACTTAAAACTTTTATGCAAAGACATTTCCTGCAAAAGTACGTCTTTTTTTATAATCAAACAACATGAAGGCACTGAGTTTTGATCTATATACTGAAAAACATGAATTTGTTTGCTCAGAAAACGTTGTTTTCGTCTGCACTGGGTAATCAGAGGGGATAAAACCAGTGTTCACCGAAAAAAGGCTTTCGCAAAAGTGCAAGAAAACACTGCAAAGTTCAAACAGTTGACGCTTGCATCAGCGTGTATTTTAAGTGGGCTTGAAATACGAGTTAAGTGGAACAAATTGAACAGGCTCGTTACATGGTTGTTTTTAATGTGATCATTTACCGGAAATGGGGACGGAAAAACAGAGACGAGGGAAAATGTCACCTCGTCAGCGCTCACCCTAATTACAACTCGCCGTTTAATTGCAAGTGACAGAGGACTCTGAGACAAAGGGCCGAGGCTGCAATCTGTGTGTGGAAACAGCATTTATCAAACACATTAGTGTTATTCTTGTCTCACTGTGTCATAGAGAACAAATGGAGAGTTACAAAGAGATTTAGCTCATTTCTCCTCCACTCATCCATGTGCTCCACCCACCAGGACTGAACTGTCAAACTGAACAGAGGAAGCCGCCCTCTTCGGGAAGAACTCGTCGTCTCGATGTTTTTGTCTCGTGACTTTTAAAACAAAGCTTTGGCTGTTTGCATGATTGTCATTTCATAGAATAACCTTAGATATGGAGATGTTTTCACGTAGTACATATTGCAATTGTAACCTTTAAATTGTAAAACAGTGGTGTCCAATATGGGATTCAGGGCAAAGGTGGAGTCACAAGATGAAAAATATAACAGGAAGTGTGGCAACACAGTAGCATAAACATTCTGTGTAGACTGTCAGTCATCCATTCTATGAAATGTATGTGATTTAGAACATAACCTGGCTGTCAATCAACCTGGACACTGCAATCTCACCCTAATCTTCTTTGAAACAACTTGCGCTCTGTCAGGTCGCATGGATCATGAGTGAACAGCCCTTTTAATGTTCAGCCACAAATTCTCTATTGCCTGAGGTCTGGATCTGACTCAGCTTGTTGCCTTTGTACCACTTCTGTGAGGCTTAGGCTGAATGTTTTGGGCCATTCTCATGCCAACTGCATCCAGTTGTCCTCCAGGATTTCCATATACTTTACTATATAAATACTAAATACTATACTGCATTCACTTTAGCCTCTACCTTTACAAGCCTGCTGTTGAGAAGCATCCTGACATCATGACGCTGCCACCACCAAGCTTCACAGTGGGGATGGTGTGTCTGTGATGATGTGCAGTGATTGGTGTCCACCAAACATAGCATTAAGTCTGATGACCAAAAGAGTCGATTTTGGTCTCAGACCAAAGAACCTTCTTCCAGTTAGCTGCAGATTCTCCCACATGCCTTCTGGTGAATTCTAGTTGAGATTTCATATGAGATTTTTTAACGGTGTCTTTCTCTTTGCTACTCTCTTATAAACCTTTGACTGGTGAAGAACCCAGCAACAGCTGTTTAATGCACAGTTTCTCCAATCTCAGCAGCAGAAGCTTGTAACTCCTTCAGAGGAGTCATGAGTGTCTTGGTGGCCTCCCTTACTAGACTACCTTATCCATTCAGTTTTTGAGTTTGGCCTGCTGTAGGCAGATTATACATGTGCCGTATTCCTTCCATTTCTTAATGATAGATTTAACTGTATTCCAAGGAATATTCAGTGACTTGGAACTTTTCTAGTATTCATTCCCTGACTTGTGTTTTTCAAAAACCTTTTCATTAAGCTGTTTGGCGTGTTCTTTTGTCTTCATGGTGCAATTACATCCAGGAGTACTCATTCACCAAACACTGGATCTCCCAGATCAGGTGTCTTTACACCACAATCACTTGAGACACTTTCACTGCACTCAGATGACCTATATTTAACTAATTGTTTGACGTCTAGCACTAGTTGACTGCACATTTGTTGAATAAGGTGCATCATTTTGAAGGGAGTGAATCCTTATGCAATCACTTATTTTACATTTTATATTTTTAATTACATGACATTACATTTTTCTACATTTTGTAGAAATCTGTTCTCACTTTGACATAAAACTGTCTTTTTTTTGTAAATTATTGTCAAAAAAGCCAAAATATATTGACCATGATTCAATGTTTAAAAGCAATAAAAAGGGAAAACTTCCAAGTAGGGGTTACTACTCTTTAAAAGCACTGTATTTCTGATTTTGCTACAAACCAGGCCTCTGAATAAAACATATTCAACAATCTCTCTTTCCTATGATGGTGCTCTGTGGATTTTTATACAATCAGTTACTTGCAAACATTTTTCTGCAAATTACCAAGAGGAAAACTCTCCAAGCTTTCAATATACTCTAAATTCAAATCTTGAGTTTGAGGAAGCGGGAGAGTGATGAATTTCTCACCATGGATGTGCTGCGGAAGAAGACATTATTGCAGATGGAAGAGAAGAGCTTCATGCTTTCCTGAAGACGATTCTGCAGCGAAAAGACAATAACACAATCAAACAGCCGCAGAGGGAAGCTGAGAGAAGACACTTCATTTTAAAACTCCGTCTTTGAGGACAGAACACTTTCTGACTGACTGAGACTTAACAAGTGGTTTCTAGTTTGTTGCAGTGGAGAGTGTGAACATTTGTGGGCTAGTGATTTAGTGCAGTTTGTACCATGGAGGGGTCTTCCACCAGGGTCATGTCGTATCCGCTGAGCGACACCACGAACAGAACCGCTCTGACGTCCTCGAAGCAACCGATCCACTTCCTGCGCTCAGTCCTCTGACCTCCAACGTCGTACATCCTGCACACAGACAGAACAAGACAGTTTGAACACAGATGCAAGATACACAGTCAAAAGAGGAACCAAAAATTAACAAATCACATAAGTTAAGAAAATGAATAACATCTAAAACAGCATTTAGCTTTCACATTACTTCTATATTTATGAAGTGTGGCAGCACAGCAACATTCTGTGAAGATTCTCAGTCATGTTGTATGAAAAGTAAGTGATCTGGAACACAACCTAGATCTCAGTCAGCCTGGACGCTGCAATTTTTTTTACCCCATTCTTCTTTGCAAAACTGCTCAAACTCTGTCTGATTACACAGGGATTATAAGTGAACAGCCCTTTTCAAGTCCAGCCACAAATTGGATTGTTGTATTGAGGTCTGGGCTTTGACTCAACCGCTCCACAACATTCAGCCTGTTGTCTTTCTGTGTGGCTTTGGTTGTATGCTTCGGCTCATTGTCTTGCTGGACAACAAACCTCCTCCCAAGTCACAAGTCTCTTGCAGACTGCATCAGGTTATCTTTTAGGATTTCCGTATGTATGCATTCACTTTACCCTCTACCTTTACAAGCCTTCCAGGCCCTGTTCCAAGAAACATCCCCACACCAAGATGCTGCCACCACCATGCTTCACAGTGGGAATGGTGTGTTTGTGATCATGGGCAGTGCACAGCACCTAGAGTCTGATCACCACTTGGTCACTTGGGGGCAGTGAAACATGGTTATAAACTTGACATTTAATGAATTTCTTTTCTATTTTGACATTTGTCTTGTTGTAAAGCACTTTGTAACTTTGCTTTCAAAAAGTGCTATATAAATAAAGTTACTACTATTATAATTATTATTACGATTAGCAACAGCAGATCATTGGTGGAGCCTCCAAATGCTTGATTAGACTGAGATCTGAGGAGTTCATTGGTTGTCTTCCTACGCCACAAGATCTGCCATTTTGGAGGTGCTCCGACTCAGCCATCACAATTTGGCCTCAGATTCTTATGCTGCCCATTTTTCCTGCATCCAACACTTCAACTTCAGAACTGACTGTTCACTTGCTGCCTAATATCTCCCACTCCTTGACAGATGCCAGTGTAACAAGATAACTGTTACTCACTTCACCTCTCAGTGGTGTTAATAACGATAGTTGCTTATTTACACGTCCAGAAGATATGAAACATGATTCATTTTGAGTTTTGCATTTGGTCACCTAAGGTCGATTATTTGCTCTGTTTTTTGCTTTGTTTTGGTTTTAAAAGCTGAGGAAAATATGTGGGTCTTTAACTGATAAATGCTCATTAATGTTCACCAGTCTGCCATTTGGTACTGAGCAGGTAATGTACAGGGTTTTTTTCTTTCTCCCAAGAACTGTATCACTGACAACAACTGACTGCTGCAGCTGAAATCAACTCTAAACCAAAACAACAAGCTGAAAGAGACTAAAAGAGTCCAATAGAACTGATGGGAACTGCAGAGCTCGTAACTATAATTATAATGATTACTGCAACATTTTTTCCACAACAGCCATTTAAACCAGTGTGAGCGTGAGAATATTTTTGTTAAAACATGCCAAAATCTTTACTTGTCATGCCAATAGTGCCAAGAAGACGAACCAAATTTTAAATAATATTACAGAATCTAAATCAGACACAAAACCACAGGGACATGTGCAAAATGTGTTTTCAGGTGTGGAAATGGAAACTAAAGCTAAACAGTAGCAAAAGCTGCACATGTGTAGAGGAATAAGAGATCCACATTGTTGCACAGGACGCAGGTGGCTCTGATTTAGCAGATCAACACACTCAATGTAGGAACATTGAAGAGAGTGCAGAGACAGAGTGCAAACACACAAACGCAGTAATTCACCCCAGCATTACATTAATAAACTGAACATTATTTTAATCCAGAAGCAAAAGATATGATCCCCTCCGTGTGATTACACTAATGAGGATAGACAGTCTGTTCATGGATCATTCATCAAGACGACCGTGGAGGCAGTGCTGTGTGTATGTGTGTGTGTGTGTGTCTGCTGGTAAGTATGTGAAATGACATCTCATTGTGACTGACATGTCCTTTATCAGGATTCAATTTCCAGTAGAACAGCGTGAGGCTGGTGTGTTCATGACCGTCCATACAGATGGTGTCGCCTACTGTAGCACTGCAGGGGGAAACTCTAATCAATGGCAGATTGTATTGGTTTTGGATAAGGTCAGATATTTCTCAAATATGCGATTTACGCTCACACACGAAGAGGCAGTGTGCCCCCCTTTTTGTCAATTTCCACCAAGACAATCACAACATTCCCCCCCTCCTCCCTGAAACAATCACAACACGGCAGTGCAAAGAGCGTAAAGGTCAATGTTCTCCACAAGGATGAGAGAAAACAAAAAAAAGACACACAACAGGAATAAAAGCAGAAAGAGCCGCAGATCAGTTCATCCCACGTTTTAAAAGTCAGATGTGTCGTCTCCCACATTCAGTCTGAGCGTCCATCGAGTTAATGCAGCTCTTTATTGAGAGGGGAAATGAACATGTGGAAACACAGACAGGGGGAAACAAACAGGAGAAGCAGAGTGACGTAAAGATGATACGATTTATGCTGAAAACTTTCCGTGGAAATTGAAGCCCAGGCGCAGCGGGCCTGTCGGCGACGCTTCATTACACACATCTACTCACGAGTACAACACCCCGATGACACTCCCTACTAACAGGTGTGCTCCAAGCTTTGAAACTGCACACACAATGACTAAGCTCGACATCGTTTTCAATCAAGTCGGCATCAAGCGAGCCACGATCAGAAGCAATCAAATCTAGAAGAATCTCAAAGTGAACATTTTTGCTCTTCAGTAAAGTCAACAAGACAAGAATTTATGCTCACAGATCTGCAAAGCTGTAGATAAGAATAAATTAAACGTTATTATCACTACACAGAATACAAGTAGTAAGACAACGAAATGCAGAATCCAAAAGTTCCTGTCGACCATATGAGATGTTTGCAAGATTGTTCTGAGCGAACTTTGCATAATGTGGAGAGACGCTGAGCCTTGTGTTGTTCATGCACCACCATCTTGGTCATGGACATGTATACTGCAGGCTTTCTCAATTTTTGTACATAAATAATCAAAAAAATTCAACTTTAGATTTAGATCCAAAAACTGCTTGGGATTCAAGGGGTTAACTTTCTTTCACAAACTACCATTTTCAGCACAAACTCTAGTACAGATGTGCTTCAAAGCTCGGGGAAAGCCTGGTCCTTCAGCTGCCTAATTTGATGCTGCAGTCTTAAGGGAAAAGGGGAAGCACTTCCTGCCATATTGGTGAAAAGCTCTTCGGGCAATCTGTGTTTCTAATATTCTCAAAATGAAAACTGATTAAGCTACCTGCACGCTACTCTGGATAAAGGTTTGGTTCTACACAACATGTCGGGTTGCGTCATTCCGGCCTCCTCTCTCGCCCCTCCTGCTCCGGCTCTTCCTGCCCCGTGATAATTCACCCTCATCTGCGGTGTTGTAATTGGAATTACCAGAGCCGTTGATGTTAATGATGCAGGAAAGGACTCAGATTCCTATTACACTGAGAGGTCACAGGTCAAACAGGACCTCTGTATGCTAAATAGGCCGTGTCTGGGTGGGACATCATAGCGCCAATACACACAAATACGCACACAGAAGACACGAGATGATGAAAGTTCGTCATCCGCTGCAGTGTTGATTAAGTGTCTGAATAATGACATAATAAGATGTGGAGTCTGTTTTGTTTTTTTAAATCAGTGTTTCAGAGTGGGAGGTTTTTGTCTGTTTGGAGCACATAATCTCTGAAAACCTCAAACTATTCCATTCAAACATTTGCTCTTTAATGAAGAACACCAGAAGCCTGCACCTACAACAGCTTAACTAACTGTGTGTTATCTCCTGTTGGATGCGATTTGTCACATATTAAAAACAATGCAGATGAATTCACCTTGATTCACCTTTGGTGTTTTCAGAAGCGTAACCTTTTCTGTGACCTCAATTTTCACCGCAGTATGAAGTCCTGCACCTCTGTGGAAATGGCACAACCATGGCTGGAAGTTGGGAAAATTCAAAAATGTCTTCTGTGCAGTGTGACACCGTTTTTATTGCCATAAATCACAAAAAAGAAAAAACTAAAGTTGAACATCTTTGAATATTTGTTTTGTAGAAATTGTAAAAAGCTGGACTAACATGTACAACATTTCTCCAGGTGCCAAGACGTGTTACTGACACTGGAAAAAAATGCTGGCACTACATACTATAGATATTTGACTACTCTAGTTTCAATTTCTTTGCATACACGTCTGCTGTCTACTCTGAATTTTTGTCACTTGACTGTTGGTTGCACTTAAGTCACTATAGAGGCATTCTCGTTTTTTTTTACATAATCTGGTTTGAGCAGGGGCTGCAAGGTGACGCAGTTGGTTAACACTGTTGCCTCGCAGCAAGAAGGTTGCCAGTTCGCATCCCAGTGGGGGCACCGGGATCTTTCTGCGTGGAGTTTGCATGTTCTCCCAGCGTGGGTTCTCTAGCTTCCTTCCACATAGTCCAAAAACATTTTGAGATTAATTGGTGATTCTAAATTATCCGTAAGTGTGAATGTGAGTGTGCTTGGTTGTCTTTCTCTAAGTGTAGCCCTGTGATAGACTGGTGACCTGTCCAGGGTGTCCCCTGCCTTCACCCTGAGTCAGCTGGGCCTCCAGCCTCCCCGCGACCCTAATGTGGATTAAGCGGTGTATAGATATTGGACGGATGGATGGATGGTTTGAGCAAATGGTACTTTTATATGAGACATGCAGAATAAACTGAATTTAATTAAATATAACACATTTGAAGTGACAGATTTGTACGTCACAGATGAGCAGTTCAAGGACCTTCAGAAAGCTGAAACAATTCTTTCTGTTCGTTCTGTTTCTGGCTCTGATAAATGGTGCAGTTCAGTATTTTTATTTTTTGGCATTTTTGCCTTACTTCGATAGTGCAGTCAAGAGAGATACAGGAAAGTGGG